GTGCATGCATAGATACACACACACACACACACACACACACACACACACACACACACACACACCAGAAAGAGGAGGAGAATTCCACATCCCCTCCAGTTTGTTTGCAGTAGATATAGCAGCGCTGAAACACAGGGTATAAACTCAAGCCTGATAGTAACTTAGATGAAAGAAAGAAAGGGGAAAGAGACAGGAAACCGAGACTTAGTAACCGGAAGATTGGTAAGCAATCTCCACATCCTGCCTCTTGAAGTTCTTTGAAAGTGCCAGGATTTCACCATTAATCTTATACCAAGTGAAAGACCTTCAAGCATTCTTTGAGCAAACACCATCTTCGTGTATCGAATTGACAGTCATCAGAAAACAGCGGTAGGGGGCTGGAGATGGCTCAGTGGTTAAGAGCACTGACTGCCCTTCCACAGGACCCAAGTTCAATTCCCAGCTCCCACATGGCAGCTCACAACAGGAGTCTGTTAACTCCTGTTCAAGGGGATCCAACACCCTCCTACAGACATATATGCAGGCAAAGCACCAATGCAAATGAAACAAAAATAAATACTTTAAGGAAAAAAAAAAGCCGTAAAGCTACAGCAGGAGACTCCCAAGGATCTTTTTTGTACAAACACATTCGCTGACTCAACCATGTTGACTTCTTGATCTCAAAGCCAAGAAACCTTTCCAGCCTTTCCACACCTTTGACTCCTGGCAAAGTGTCTAAGCTGCAGGGATATGTGTTTCAGTCACCTCTAGAATGCACTGGAACTATTAAACCAGCATCACAGAAGATACTCCTGGGAGAGACTAGTTCAAAACTCAGAACTATACCTGACTAAGTGCAGAAAAGATGAGAGGAATAAAACCAGAAATATTTTAAAATATTGTTATTGATTTCATGTGTATGGGCATTTGCCTGAAAGTATGTCTGTGTACCATATGTATGCCTGGTTCCTGCAGAGGCCAAAAGCAAGCATCAGATCCCCTAGAACTGGAGTTTCAGAGGTTTGTGAGCTACAACATGGATGCTGGGAATCAAACCCAGGACGTCCGTAAGAGCAGCCAGTGCTTTTAACCACAGAACCATCTCTCTATCCCCACTGTGAATATTGTCTTTATTCCTGTCTATATTTTCTAATGTCCTTATCGGACATGCAGGACTTTTGTTTTACAGAACAAGTGACTGAAGAAAGGAGGCAAGGGGGCAGCTGTTCAAATACCACCTGGGAAGCCTTGGCCACCCCCTCAGTCACTTGTCATCTAGTGCTTCATAGTAAGTTGTGTTTCCTCTGCACCAGGCTGAGGGGTTTTCTGTACCTTGTCATCAACGTTCTCTAACCCCAAATTCAAGCCATCTGGACATCCTAACCAAAGAATTAAGCCACATATTGTATAGCTTCTCTACCTCCACCATGCAAAGCTTTCAGACTTTGTGGAAATAACACCCGATTCTCAATATTAGGAGTTATGGAACCATCTGTCTTAGTTCACTTCTGATACTATAGCAGAACATCATAGGCTTGATAATTGATAGAGACTAGACATTTATTTTCACAGTTATGGAGGGTAGAGGGTCCAAGGTCAAGATACCAGCAGGGCTGGTGTCCAGTGACACCTACTGTCCCCTTTCAAGGGGGTGCCTTACTGCTGTATCATACCTCTGGGGGCGTCGAGAGCGTTGGGTTCTCACGTCATTGTCACAGCAAAGAAGGCGTGACCCTGGTGCTCATGACTGCAAGCGTGTGTGATGGGTCAGGCAGAGAACTCAGACCAGTGCCAGAGGAGACCTCAAGGTCTACCCAAGTGACCCACATCCACCAGTTAGGGGTCATATCCCAAAGGCTCTATAGGCGCTAGAAGAGCACTAACCCCCGGAAATAAGTATCTGTGCACAAGAAACTGTGGAACATTTTACATGCAAACCATAAAGCTATGTGTGAAACTTCTTTTACAAGGGGAAGGAGGGGACCTGTGAGGGAAGGAGACTCTACTCAAAGGCCCCACCTCATAATAATATCCCACTTGTGACATTTAAAGGGGACACATTCAAACTGCAACATCATCTTATGTCATCTGTACATTAGGGTCAAATAGTGCCATCTTGTCATTTCTAAGAAGGCAGGGGGTTTCAAATGTGTGGTTTGAGCCACAGGTGTGACAAGCCACTTTCAGGCAAGTTGCTCCTTCCCAGATTCTATCCTAATAGGCCTGGGGCCTGGAACGTGATTAGCACTGATGCAGGCACCTGCCTTAGGACAAGCTTGAGGTACCCCTCCACCTCGTGTTTGACGCGTGGTCCCAATTAGTCCCACCTGCCTTAGGACAAGCTTGAGGTACCCCTCCACCAGGTGTTTGAAGCGTGGTCCCAATTAGTCCCACCTGCCT